ATATATATATATATATATATATATATATATATATATATATATATATATATATATATATATATATATATATATATATATATATTATATTATTATTATTATATATATATATATATATATATTATTATTATTATTATTATTATTATTATTATTATTATTATTATTATTATTATTATTATTATTATTATTATTATTATTATTATTATTATTATTATTATTATTATTATTATTATTATTATTATTATTATTATTATTATTATTATTATTATTATTATTATTATTATTATTATTATTATTATTATTATTATTATTATTATTATTATTATTATTATTATTATTATTATTATTATTATTATTATTATTATTATTATTATTATTATTATTATTATTATTATTATTATTATTATTATTATTATTATTATTATTATTATTATTATTATTATTATTATTATTATTATTACATTACCGTAATTTATTATTGATTAAAAAACAAAAAAAAATTGCTAAAAAGAGATGGAGAGAGAGAGAGTGAGAGGGAGAGAGGGAGAGGAATGAATAATTATAATAATTTGTTTTTTTATTCTCTTTTAAAATATTTAATATTTTTCTCCGGTTTTTTTTCGGGGAGGGGAGGGGATGGAGGTAGAGGAGAAGAGAGAGAAAAGGAAGATGAAAGAAGATTTACTAAGAGAAAGTATAATTAAATAAATAAGTAAATAAAATCTCATTCGATAATAATAATTATTATTTTTTACTTTATATAAAATTTATTTTAAAATTATTATCATTATTAATATTATTATTATTATTATTATTAAGTAAGGGATGGATTACAACGTACATAATTTACTTTTTTTTAATGTCAAGTAAAAGGTTAAAGATTTTTCCTTTTTTTTCCCTTTTTTCCTTTTTTTTTGTTAATAAAACGTTTCCAGTTTTTTTTTTTTTTTTTTTTTACAATCGAGTGAGAGAATTTTCACTTTGGAAAAGTTTTCCCGTAGAAAATTTAATTTTCTTACGAGATTGAATTTTTCAACTTCATTTTATTTTATTTATTTGTAATTTTTTCAATTTAAAAAAAAAAAAAAAAAAATTGTAATTTGTTTTCTGGTTAAAAAAAAAAAAATTTTTATTAAAAAATTATGACGAAAAACGTTTAGTTTTATTATCATTATTATTTGTGTTGTTTATTAAAAAAAAAAAAAAAATTGGTGTTAATATGAATTACATATTTATTTATTAATTTTTTAAGTGGATAAAACATTTTTTTTTAAATAATAATTTTTTTTTTTTTTTTTAAACAAAATTATTGGGAGAGGATATTAAATTTACTTTTAATTATTTTTTTTTTTGTGTTTGTTTGTATTTATCACGTCATAAATTTATTTATTGCGGATTTTAAAAAGAAAATGATAAAAAAAATTCTTGGCTCTTTTTTTTTTTTTTTTCGGTTCTTTTGCACAAGGATTCTATAAATAAATATATTCAATGCCGATTTATCATCATCATCATCATCATCATCAATGTTTTTATTTTAAAATTGAATTTTTTTTCGAAAACAAAAAAATTATTTTTTTTTAACGAAAAATGTTTTTATTAATTTCCCCCCTCCCCCTTTCTCCCCTCTTCCCTCTTCCCACCATCCCCTACCCAAAATTGAAAAAAAAAATCAATTAATATTAATTTATATATATTTATATATTTATTTATTTATTTTTCAGAAAAACAATCCAAATAAAAATAATCGAAGAAGGAGCTTACGAAAAAAATGCCATTTTTTACGTTCATTTAGGTGAACCAAAATGGATCGGAGGTAATTTATTTATTTTAAAATTATTAACAAATAACTTATAAACAATTAATCGAATATTATTATTATTATTATTATTTAATAAATTATTTTTTATTCACGCACGTGACGTAATCAAAAAAATAAATTAAAAAAAGATAAATTTTTTAATTATGTTTACGTCAAAATAACAAACAAAATGTCTCCGCCATTTTGTTTTCACCGCCTTCTATTGATCGTATAATCTTAATTCGAACTTTGTTTTTGTTTTGAAAATTCATTTCTTCCCTTGAAAATTTAATTAATTAATTTCAAAATTTAAAAAAATTGAAGGCTTTATAACTTTTTTTTTCGTAAAAATTATTTTTTTTTAAACGTGAATGCAATAAAATGGTGTCACAGTAATAATAATAATAATAATAATAAAGAATGTTTTTATTGAATTTCCCCAAAATAATGTTTTTTACAATAAAATTTTTTTAAATATTTTTTTCTTCATGTTTTTTTTTTTTTTTACATACAATAAAATAAGAAAATGTTTGTTTATAAGAAAAATATTGATGAGACTAATTAATTAAATCCTTGAATAATAAACTAAAAAATTTTTTCTTCTTTTTTTTTCTTCATTATTTGATTTTAAATTTGTTAATTTGAGGTAAATCAGAATCTAAAAATATACAAAATGAAAGGTTGATATCTTTTCCTGGCAATGTAACAATTTAAATAAAAAATAAAAAAAATTACAACAGAGATACAAAAATAAATACTATATTTGCTTAATATACATTTTAAGTAATTAAAAAAAAAAAAATGTTTGTTTTTTTGTTGTTGTTGTTGTTGTTGTTGTTGTTGCTGTTGTTGTTGTTGTAATGGTTATTGAATACAAAAAAAAAATCCTAAATAAACTTTAATTGTTTATAAAAGTCTTCTTCTGTTATTATTATTATTAGTATATCTGTATTGTTTTTTTATAACTTTTCGGTTAGGAAAAAAATTTTTTTTGTTTGTTTTTATAATACTCTCACTTTTATTTTTCTGCTACATAAAATTTGGCATAATTGTTTTTTTTTTTATTAAAATTTATGTAGGAACAAGTCAGACATTTTTTTTTTTTTTTTGTAAAAGATTATTTTTAAAGAGTTTAAAATAATTAGATAAAGAACGAAAGAAACGTGGCAGGTGTTTTTGTATATACAGATATATATATTTTCTAATGTCACGTGATAGATTTGAAAATAACCGTTAAACAGGGGGGGCGAAAAAAAAAAACAATTTTCATTGGTTGTTCTTGCCAAATTAATTAGTTTTTCTTTACTTTTACTAACATTTGTTTTTTAGCTAAGATTCATTACTTTTTTTATAAAAATGAAAAAATTTATTTTACAATTAAAATATGTCGTAATCACAAGTCAATCAAAAATCATCATTTTAATCGATTATATGTATACATAATTATTATAAAATTATGAAAAAAATTTCTTTTTTCTTTCTCATTGAAATTTTTTAAATCATTTTGGATTCGATTCAAAAAAAATAAAAAAAAATTTTAATTCTATGTTTTGAATAAATCAAATCTTTTTTGATTGAAAACTAATTTTTTATGGCAATAAATAATTTAATATTGATTTTTTTTTTTGATTTGTATATTTAATTGTCGCATATACAATAATATCAATAGTAATAACTTAACTATAAATTATTTATGTAAGTTCTTTTGTGAAAAAACAAAAATTTTATTTTTTATCATAAATAATAGTTTCGAATGAATGCGTTTGTTATTTTATTTCTTACCCATAAATTTATATAAGAAAATAATTTTTTTTTTTTATGTTTTAGAATATGCAAAATTAGTACCGGAAACACCCAGAGAAAATATGACACTTAAAGAAGAACTCCAATTGCAAGCCGTACCTAAATTGGGACATTTATCGAAAGCCAGCATAAAAATTCGAGAAAATAAAGAATTTAAGGTGAGTAAAGCATAAAATGTTTTCTTCTATCACGCAAAAAATCAAATAGGCAAAATAAAATTTTTAAATGTATGGCAAAAAGCATAATTAAATTTAATAAGGGGTAAAATTAAAAAAACATGGCTTCGTCAAATAATTTAATGAATAAATTTAAATTGGTTTTATTAAAGAATGTTTTTTTTTTTTTTAACAATGATTTTTGAATCAATTACAATTAAAAATTTTTTAATTGATATTGTGAAATGATAGAATAATTTGATATTTGCCGGAAAACGAAAAAAAAAAAAAAACAGAGCAGGAAGCTCACGTGTTACGGGTCAAGGTAAATTCAATGTAATCACTTAAAATATTCTCAACATTATTATTATTATTATTTACGGTTAAAAAAATTTTTTTTTTTTTTTTTATTATTATTTTTAGATGATAATTGAAAAGATGGCTCAAAATGCAAATTCTTCGGTTGTCCAAGAAAATTTTTCATGGTGGAGTCAATTTAAAGAAGCTTTGACCCTTAGAGAAGGTAAAAAAAAAATAATAAAATTTTAAAAGTTTTTAATTTACTTTTAAACTAAATTAATATTACGATGATGACGTCGACGATGACGACATTCGTGTATTGAAAAAAAAAACTGTTGAAATTGTTTTAAAAAACCTTTAAATATAATAAAAACTATTTTTTTTTTTGTTATTATTCAGGTGATAGCGCCGATGAAGATCCGCCATCTTGTGGTGAATACATAATGCACTTTTTAACGGTTATTTGGAAATTACTTTTTGCATTGGTACCTCCAACAGGTACGAGGATTTTATTTAAATTAATTCTTTTTCACAAATTGGCAACAACAAAACAAAATTATCTCACTTTTTTTTTTTAAAAAAATTTTAATTGTTTTATTTAATTACTATTTATCATAATTTATTTTTGGGTACAAAGATATATTAGTAAACATTAGGAAATACTTCTGTTGTAATTTATAGAGAGACCTAAAAAAAAAAATTATTACGCAATCGTTTTTTTTCTCTTCTTTTTTGTTCTTCTCGGTTTCATATTCGTAACGAAATAAATTTAATCACGTATTTGCAAAAAAAAAAAACTAAATTATAATAATAATTAATAATAATAATCATTGTTTTTGTGGGCGATCGTGAAACAATAATTAAAAATTAATACGCGATAAAATGCCTTTTTGAAAATCATCCAATCCCCCTATAAAGAATTAAATAATAATAAAAACGTTCGATTCTTTTTATCATTACCATTATTATTATTATTATTTATATATTATATTTTCCGTTAAATTTTTATTAAAAAAAAAAAAAAATCTTTTTAATTAATAATAAATAAAAAGAAACGAAAAAATTAATAATGAGAATTCATGAGAGTATCGGGAGTGTTTAGGTAGGAGGGAGGTGAAGAGGGGCGGGCGGAGGAAATGAAAAAAAAAAAAAAAAATTTTTTTACTTCCGATTGTTTAGCTTATGAGTTTTTAACATGGCATTGTCAGTCGTCGCAGTTATGGCATCGACGATGTTAATCCCGCCATTTTTTTTTTTTTCGTAACCGTTTTTTTTTTCTTTTTCTTTTTTCGTTAACTTTTTTAAATATTATTATGATTATTTTAAAGTTATTATTTTAGTTTTGTTGTGTTTTTTTTTTTTATTTTAAATAAGAGTATCGTGGAAATTATAACGAAATTCGTTAAATTTTAAAGTTTTTGAAAATAATGATGATAATAATGATTTAATGAAAAAATGTTAAGTCATTCGAAAAAAAATTTTTTTTTTCTGTTATCGATTTACAAGTAGGAGAATTATTATTATTATTATTTGGTTTAATAAAAACAATTAAAAGGTACGAATTAATAAATTTTATATTTTTTTTTGGGGGGAAATTAATTAACGAATGTAAAATTCAAACGTTACAGGTTCAAAGTCTTTTAAGTTCAAATTAATAACCTAAATTTATAATTCGCATAATTCAAATTTTAATTTTCTTTTTTTTTCTTTACAAAATTATTATTCAGTAATTATTATTATTATTCGTGAAAAATTAATTAATATTATGTCGTCTGCTATCGTTAATGTGTTTGTGTGTGTGCGTGTGAATCAATTGATAAATTCATAATTCATTATTTATAATAAATAATTAATAAAGGATGATTGATCACGTGATGATTGACAATATATAGAAAATTTAATAATATAATATATATTTGAATATAAAAAAATGATAATAATAATAATAAATATTATATTATAGGTTACTGTCAGGGATGGCTTTGTTTTTTTGGATCCCTTATGGGTATTGGTGCAATGACAGCAGTTATTGGAGATGTTGCAGCACATTTTGGATGTTCTGTCGGTTTAAAAGATTCTATAACGGCCATTGGAATTGTTGCCATGGGAACAAGCATACCAGGTATTTAACAAACAAAAAAAAAAAATTTAAGAAAAAAATTTTTTTTGGCCGCCATTTTAAATAAAAAAAAAAATTAACCATCACCTGAAAAACGGTTAAATATAGTTTTTCTCTCTCTCTCTTTCTCTTTGGATCCGGGACGGATTCGTAAAATTACAAAAAAAAATGTCGTAATCAAATATTTTTTTAAAAAAAAAAAAAAAACCGTCCCAAAAATTCCCCCCTTTCCCGCCCCGCCTCCCCAAGACCAGTTCGGGTCATTCGCCATTTTTTTTTTTTTTTATCTATCTATATCTTCGTCTCATCTTAGCTTTTCCAACGTTTTTCTCTCTCTCTCTCTCTAATTTATTTATTTAAAAATACACCTCAAAGGGGGTCTCTCTCACTCTCCCTACCCCTCCCTCCCCATAAAATCAGCTGTTGTTTCTTCTTCTTCTTTTTACTTACGACACTCTTCATCTCAACAACAACACCCTGATATTTTTAGATTATTTTTATTAAAGTCTGGTCAAGACATTTCCTAGTCTCGACACAAAAAGAAAATTTTCTTATTATTATTATTATTATTATTAGTTAATTATTTATTTATTTATTTATTAATAATGAATTCGAATCAAAAGGTAAATAAAAAATTTATTTATTTATTTATTAATATTTTTTGTTAATAACTTTTTTTATTTAAAAAAAAAAAAAAAAAATTTTTTCTTTTCGATTCGGTTTAAAAATTTTTTTAAAAGTTCATTCAAGATATTGAACTCATCAATTAAATCAATCAAATTTAAATTGATCGATTTTGAATATTTGGTTTGAGAATTTCAATTCATTTTCTAGTATTATTATTATTATTATTATTACATTTTTTCTCTTTAGATACGTTTGCAAGTAAAGTCGCCGCCATACAGGATGAAACCGCTGATAATTCCGTTGGTAACGTGACCGGAAGTAATGCAGTTAACGTTTTTTTGGGTATCGGTGTTGCATGGACCATAGCTGCATGTTATCATGCTTATTTCGGTGAAAAATTTTACGTCGATCCTGGAAGGTAAGTCATTTCGTACCTTAATAACAACAATAATAACAATAATAATAATAATAATTAATTTTTATTTTAAAAGGTTTTAAAAAATCCGCGTCGAAATGCGTATCAGATGCGCGTTTACAAGTTTTTTTTTTAATCATCTGTAAATGCACTATCTGGTACGACATTTCGGTTTGCGAATTCCTTCGATAGCAAAGCCTCCGCGATACGATAAAAAAAAATTTTCGTAAATTTATAATAATAATAATAATAATAACGATACAAATAGTATGTCCTTAATAATTCTCTCGGGTTTTTTTTTTTTTTTTTTTAGTTTGGCATTTTCCGTGACGATATTTTGTACCGAAGCGGCGACGGCCATTTTTATTCTTGTTTTAAGAAGACATAAATCAATCGGTGGAGAACTTGGGGGTCCGAGATGTCAAAAATATTTCACTATGTGGATTTTCCTTCTTTTATGGTTAATTTATATAAGTTTGTCTAGCTTGGAAGTTTACGGTGTCATTAAAGGATTTTAAATTATATATATATATATATATTTAATATACGATTCGAAAGCTAGCATTTTAATAATAATAATAATAATAACAATTATTAAATATTAATGAATATTAGTTCCAGATAGGAAATATATATTAAAACCAGCCCCCCCCCCTTCCAATTTTCGTTGTTATAAATAGTTAAATGAATTAATGACTAGAATTAGTTAAACAAGGCCGTTCAGCTAAAATTATTCCTGAATTTTTTTTTAGGATGAAAGCCAAAAAAAAAAAAAAATGTTTGAATCTAATTTAAAATTGTGTTTTGCAATCCAACAAGATTCAAATTTAGTTTTATATATAAAAAATATCTAAATATATTTATTTAACTTTTTTTTCTCTCTCTCTCTCTCTCTGTCTCGATGCAAATTTTCAATTATTACATTATGAGAAATATCATGAAATTTTTTTTTTTTAACCGACAAATAATATTAATATTAATAATAATAATAATAATAATGATAATAATAATTACAAGTAAATTTATTTAAATTATTATTATTATTTGTTTTGAAATTTTTTTTTTTAAATTATTTTTTATTTTTGGTTTCGAAAAAATTTAAAATTTTATCATTATTATTATTATTATTTTTTATAATTGTTATAAAATATTAAAAATTATAATTAATAATAATAATAATAATATTTGTAAAAAAAAAATTTTAATTTAATTATATATAAATATGTTTACATAAAATATATATAATAAACAAAATAATATATAATAAAATCAATCGTTTCGTTATTATTATTATTATTTTTATTTCCACACTTATTCACGTGATTGCCGAAAAAATAATAATAATAATGATGATGATGATGACGATGAGTGTTAAAATAAGGGAAAAATTTTAAATGATATCGCCTTAGGCTATTTAAATTTTAAAATTATTATTATTATTATTATTATTTGCTTTATTTAAAATTAATATAAAAAAAATTAATTAATATAACAATTAAGAATTGGTTTCGAAAAAATTTTGAGCTACGTTAGAAGGCGGTGAGTGCAACACTTTCCTCGATAGTCTCATGTAACCCGATATGGGATCCCTTCCGAAATATTTTACTTTAAATTGATCTCCTACTTTTAAATTTAAAGCACTCGGATGTGAAACCTGAAATGACGAAAATAAATATACATGAGTGGGGGTCGGATTGAGGTCGGTTTGAGAAAAAGGAAAAGGAAAAACCTTTTTGTGATCCAATTGAGTGACGGGTATCAAAACCGGTTGCATCGCCGGATATAAAATAACCATGCATCCATGTTCTCTTATTTCCGTTATTGTCGCCGTGTAAATGGCGCCAAATTCTAAAACCGGCTCTTTTTGACTATTAATTTTTTCATTTATTATTTTCATTGCTTCGTTTAAAGCTTCCTTATTCGCGGCAAATATTTGAAATTCTCCGAGATTTTCTTCCGTTATTTCGACTCCGGTTTTCATTTCGAAATTTTTTATATTTATACCACCCGGTCCGATAAATTTGGCTCTTTGGTTTACAGGTACGTTTAATTTTTCTATCACCGGCCAATTATCTTTCTTAACTTTCCTACAATAAAAAAAAATTACATATAAACAATCGTAACGGTTTTTAATTTTTCCGAATTGAAAACGAATTTTTTTACTTTTGCAAATCGACATCTTTAAACATTCGAGTCAATGTTGTGGATATGGCTTGTTTGGCTTGCGTTATGCTTTCCATGACTATTTTAATTGGTAATCCGGGAGTTTTGACATCCATTTGAATGGCAGTTATATGATTTTTCGTTCCGGCTACTTTCATATCCATGTCACCGAAATAATCTTCGATTCCCTGAAAATGAATAATCCGATGAATTTGTAATAACAAATGCAAATATGAATGTCGTAAATTGAAAGTAATGTAAAAATCTCACCAGTATATCAGTCAGTATCACATAATCGATAATTCCTGATTTGTCATCATCCCATTTGGTTACCACCCCCATGGCAACGCCTGCACATTCTTTGATTAAAGGCACACCGGCATCTAAAAGGGCTAACGTTCCTCCGCAAACGGTAGCCATTGAAGATGAGCCATTACTTTCCAGTACTTCGGAAGTCAAACGAATTGTAAATGGAAAATTTTCTGGTATGTTTGCTTTCAATGCTTTTTCTGCCAACGAACCATGTCCAATTTCCCTTCTACCAATGGGTCCTAATTTACCAATTTCTTTTGTGGCAAAAGGTGGAAATTCATAGTGTACGAAAAAATTTTTCTCTTTTAAACCACTGTAATATTATTTTCAGTGTATTACTGGATATGTATAAAACAAAATATATATCTATATAATTTTACATAAAAATCAATGTTCAAACTCACCTTGTTAGCATTGATATTCTATCCATTTTTAAAGCTGAACTTGGGGAATCCAAGGCTACTGTGCAAAAAACTTGAGTTTGCCCTCTTTGAAATAAAGCTGAACCGTGCAAAGGTTTAAATAAATTTGATTCGCATTCGATATTTCTCAATTCGACAGGTAATCTTCCATCACATCTAATATTGTTTATTAATATATAATTTCTAAACACTTCCTTACAAACTAAACTAAAAATTTGATTAAAATTTTCACATTTATCACTAAATTTTTTTTCAATAAGGGTCCTCACTTCAGATATAGCAGTATCCCTAGATAATTTATCATGGATACTATTTTGAAATATTTTATTTAAAGGCTCAGATGCAAGCATTTGAATACTTTGGTATAATTCTTCATTAATTTCACTAATATTAACTTCTTTTTTAGGTTTTCCACATAAGCTAGCAAGGTGTTCTATAGAAATAATTATTTTTTGACACTCCGAAACTCCTTTTTTAATAGCTCTTAGTAAATCGTTTAATAATATGTTTGAACATGAACCCTCTAGCATTACAACATAATGTTTCGCTTTACTAACAACAACTAAATTTAATGAACTTTTACTTAATAAATTTTTATCTGGATTAATAATAATATTATCATCAACCAAACCTACTCTTACTGCTCCAACTGGTCCATTCCAAGGAATGTTTGATACAGCTAAGGCAGCAGAAGCAGCATTTATTGACAGAACATCAGGAAAATTTTCACCATCCATTGCCAGTGGATTACAAACGATTTGAGTTTCATTATTAAAATTAGCAGGAAATAATGGCCTGAGAGATCTATCAATCATTCTAGATATTAAAATTTCATTTTCATTTTGTCCTAATTCTCTTCTCAAAAAATTTAATGGGATCCTTCCCAGAGCAGCTGCTTTCTGTTGAAAAGAAACAGTTAAGGGTACAAAACCAGAATACATTCCACCTTTGTCACTACTGACAGCAGTTGCCATAACTGTAGTATCCTTGAACGTAACCGTTGCACATCCATCAGTAAATTTGGCTAATTTTCCAGCACCTATTATCATATCAGACCTATAAAAAAATATCAAATTATTTAACACTCATATAAATAAATATATATCATTATTTTAGTGAGTAGTAATTAGTGATTAACTTAAAGAGAATATTTACAAAAAACAAAGTTAAAAAATATTGTAACTATCTTTAAGCTTTTCTTTTTTTTAACAAAAGTAATGATTTAAAAAATTTTAATCAGAAACAAATTTTGAAGAAGAGGCAAGTTAAAATAAAATAACAAAACTTATTCACTATAATAAAAATATATTTACCCATCAGAAAAAACAACAGTTGTTTTATGTTCTACAATTTTCTTATTTTGTTCAAACTTATAATTTATGGTATCGACAATGTTTAAATCATTTGAAAAATATTTTAAATTTAAGTTTTTCAACGAAGTAAACACTTTAGTAAGTGTACGAGCACGAATTAAATGTGATGTTTTACTTTTAATAAAAATCGCCATATTAACAATAAAATTTTATTAAATTTATTTTACAAAATGTTTTATAACATTTAATTTAATAATTTGCGTGTATTAAAAATTAATCATGTTTTCGGAGAATAAATGATGTAAAATTTTAAAAAATTATACATTTTTAAGGTTGGAATATTAACGAACATCTCCAATACCAACTAATTTTTTTTTTTTTTTTATAAGTTGGCTATTGTTATCGCGCCAAATTGTAATCAATTTTCACCGAAGAATGACTCCTTTCACCTGTTCGATGATATTTCAAATTAACTTTGTTAAAATCTAACCTAATGCGGTATATTTTTAATAATCGCAATTGTTATACCTTTAAGCTTTATTTAAATTAACTTTTTTTATTAAATTTCAAACGTAAAGCCGCGTTTTTCTCTTTTGTTTTTCTACGACAAAAATATTTGTAAGTTACTTAATAAATATTACGTTTATTTATTTTTAAAGCACAACTAAAATATTTCAATTAAAACGATTAACAAATACAAATGCAAACAAACGGTTAAAATTAAATTTGTATCATCTAATAAATTATATTTAATTTTTTTAGTCTTCAAGTTTTGAAATTTTCAACGGAATCCCATTTCGAACGGTATACAAAACATTTTTCCTGCAAATTTTTGCTCTTTGTGGAGTTTTAAAACTTATATCAAATTTATAATTTACTAGTAAATTAGCTAATCCGATTTTAATTTGCATCAAACCGTATCTTTGACCTGTAACATATAAAAAAAAAAAATTTTTTTAATTCAAATCATTAAAATGGAAATAAATTTTTTTTTGTGTGTGACACTCACCCATACATTGATGCAAACCTCCACCAAAAGGTATATATGCATAATGATGCCTTTTCCTTTTTTCTTCTTCTGTAAATCTTTCAGGATCAAATTTTTCTGGATTTGGATAATAATTTGGATCCATGTGTAATCCCAAAACTGTGATTATAAGTGGAGTTCCTTTCTCTATGACAACATCCGATTCTGGTATTTTATATTTTTTTAAACAAACTCTTGTCAAAACCGAAACCGGTGGATATTTTCTCAACGTTTCTAAAAAATACAATTGTTATTTTTTTTTTTTTTTAGGGGAGCGAGGTGGCAAGAAAAAATTAATTAATGTCCACGTCAAAAAATCAATACACACACCATCAACGACTCTTCCTAAATATTCCATATAAGGTAAGCTTTCATAAGTTAATTGTCCATTGAATTTTTTTAAAACACTTTTTACTTCTTGTCTTGCTTTTTCTTGTATTAAATTATTGAGTGACATTTCATATAAAGCAAATTGCATTGTTGATGCCGATGATTCAAATGCACCCATCCAAAATATAAAAGCTTGTGCAAGAGCATCTTCGGTAGAAAACAAACATTTTTCTATTTATAAAAATAAATCATTTTCATTAATTTTTTTCGTTAAATACTCCCCCCCCACCACCATTTATTTATTAATATTAACTTAAACTTGCCGACAGTAGTTGTTATATTTTCATTACAACAATCTTTTACATCTTCGTATTCTGTATATCCTTCTTTTTTTAATTTAACTAAAGTTTGCATGAAATCATTAAAGCCGCCATCTTTGTTTTGACTCTCTCTAAATTCCATAACATCTTTAACCGTATTGAAAAAAAAATTAGTCACATCTTTTGGAGTAATTTTTATCTTGAAAAAAAAAATCGAATGGTTAAATATGTAGAATTGAATTTTAAAATAAGTTAAATTGATAACTTACGCGAAATAAAGTCCCTATATCCGGAACAAAAACGCTAACGGCAATTTTAATTATGTTTGTCCAAGTATCTTCGAATACTTTATGACCGACGTAGGGTAAAATGGAATCGTTGTTCGTTAAACATTTTGCTTGAAATCCCAACAAACAGGTGGCAGCAACATCGTGCGTATACCTCACGGTAAAATATTTCGGTTCAATTATTTTATCTTTTTCTGCAAAATCTTTAACAGATTTTTGAAGTTCTAAACTTTTCTCATGCATGTTTTCAAACATTTTTTTCATTTTACCAGAACTAAAATTCGATGTTAATTTCGTTCTAAGACTTCTCCATTTATTTCCACCCATGAAAAAAAGATTTGCTGAATAATAAACAAACTTGTTATTTATTTACTCTATGACGGGAAATTCAAAAGGAAAAAAAAAGGAGGGAATATATTTACCAGATAGAGGATCAGTTTTTTCGTTAAAATAAAGACCGCGATCTCTAAAATAATTAAAATCTTTAACGAAAATTGTTTTTATTAATTCTGGATCGCGAATCATTAAATGCGGCCTGTAAAAAACCCAACAACCGTTAAATTTTTCTCCAGGAAATTTATCGTAAATTTCTTTCATAACGATTCCAATATTTTTATAAAATCCAGCTCGGGATATGTCACCCAATGGAAACCATGGATTTGTCATTTTGACATTTTTATTTTTCCAATAATTAAAATTTTTCTTATAAAATCCAAATAATGCAATCAATGTAAATAATCCAACGTACATAATAAATCCCATGTTAATAAAATAACGACATTTTGTTAGAATTTCCCAAATCTTAAACAAACAAAAAATGAAAGTATTTTAAAATAAATATTTTTATTGATGTAAAAGTAAAATTAATAAATTAAAAAATACTTAATCATCCAATTTTTTTTTCATAAAAGAATTATTATATATAAAATTAAAAATATATTAATCAATATTAAAATATCGTTAATTAATTACATTTAAAAAAAAAAAAATCAAACGAAAGGTTTTTTTTTTTTTAAATGAAAGTTTCTATCTCCATCGGTTTATTGTTACAATTAAATAATAAAAAAATTTAAAAAGTGAAAATAAATAATAAATTATGTAACGTTTATTTGTTTCAATGACATTTTAATATATAAAAAAAAATTAATAACAAATTAACACAAGATTAACCGACCAAGTCTAAATGTTTTTTTTTTGTAAATTAAATCAATGAGTAGCACGAGAATCCATTTTGTAAAAAAACACATAAAATTTTCCTTTTTTTTTTAATTAAATTAAATTAAATTATGTAATTAATAGGATATTTTAACGGTTACATTAATTTTATTCGACCGTATAAACACATAAACAATAATAACCAACGTTATCCGTTATTAATTAAATACAATCAATTATTTAATTTAATTTAATTTAAAAAAAAAAAAAAAGGAAAATTTCTAACGTTTTTTTTTTCTCTTTCTCATTTTTAAATTTTTTTCCCTTTTTTTTTAATTTATTTTAAAAGTTTTCCATAGCAGAAAATAAAAATAAATTTTATTAAATCAAAATATTTTTAAATTATAAATAATATTTATAAAAATGAGGGGGGAAAAAAAAATTTTTAAACAAAAACACTAATAATAATAATAATATTAAATTGTAACATTTTCACCCTCTGATTTTTAATAATTTTCAACGCCATTTTCTTCTATTTTTTTTTTTGAAATTAGTAAAAAAAAAAGAATTTTAAAAGTTTAAAATTAATTAAATTTAATTACCATTTTAAATATTAAATTGTCCTTTAAAGTCGTTGTTACTTTTTTTTTTTGTTTGTACAAACACAATAAAAAAAATTAAAATTTAATTTTAAATTCAAGTTAACAGACACAGAATTCAAGTTAAAATGGGGGAAAAAGTAAAAAACATTTTTTAATAATAAAGAAAAATTTAAAAGTGTGTAAAATAAAAAAGAGAGAGAGAAAAGGGTGAGGTTAAATAGAAAAAGAAGAAGAAGAAAAAAAAAAAGAAAACAAATTATCAAGTGAAAATGAAATCAGTATATTAGTTAATTTTGAATTATGACGTGGAAGAAGAATGGTAGGAAAAAAAAAAAAAAAAAAAAGTTTTTTAACGTGATGGTTTTAACAAATGTGTGGAGGGGTTAAATTTAATAACAAATCTTTTTTTTTTATTACATAACAAAAGTTTTTCTTTTTCTTTTTTTTTTTTTGTAAATGACAATCAAAATGAAAGAAACAAACAAAAACAATTGAATTTTATACAAAACAAATATGGCTTATAAATTTTTCTTATCAAGAGTAAATTTGTATTAATTTATACTTTGTATTGATGTTAATAATTAATATTTTTTTCTTTTAATTTTTTCAGAAATTTATCTTTTTTTAAAATTTAAATGCATTCCACCTTCAACAGTCAAAACTAAGCTTCCAACGTTAAATTTCAATTGAGAAGGAGTTTTTTCACATGGAGAAACACGATAAGAAGAAAGAAG